CCACAACGCTTCGCAGTGACCGTGCTTCTAAATACTCATGTTACATGGTCTCGCAACGGCGCCAATGCCCAAGTGCTTCTGCTTCGTGTTTTAGGAGACCTGGCTTGTTGGACCTGTTCATGCCTTGCGCGCCTGAAGCACGATGCGTAAACTGCACCATGAAGGTTCACGCGCATGGTTTTGCGCGAAGCTGCCCTGTACGAAACAAACGGCTTTTGGGGTGCATTTTTGGAAGAAGCACAACAAAAATCCACAATGAATCGGGTGGTCTTGCAAACACTGCAGAGTCTTGAGTCTTGCGTGTGCTTATTGGCTCAGCAAGTTCTTAATCCCTAAGCACACTTGGAAACGTTGCGTCCATTACTCAAACCATGTTGGGTGGGGCTGGAGCTCACCACAAAAACTCTAGGCCACGCATTGGCAACATTCTAGGGCAGCCATTGATCTGGTTTAGCCTGTTGCGGTTCTTCACGTTGCTTCTTGCCCAAAAAGCTGCAACCTGGCCAAGTGATGTGTCAACTTCATTGCGCGTGTGCGCCAGCGAAACCGCATTTGGCCACCCTGCCTCCCCCGTGCTTTAAGATAACTCACGGGATTCCATAGTGTGGATGTGCACCGCCTGCATTTTGCCAAGGGAAACATGTGTTTTGAACATTTTACAACGTTTGTGGGACTTGAGGGCTGGCCAGGATGGATGATTCTCACAAAAAAACGTCTGGAGATCCTCAATCTTCAATGCAGGTCGGAAAACCTTAAAGAGTCTAGCAAAACAGTCAAGCATTTTGGGGGCCAGGATTGAGGATGTTCTAAAGCGATGTCTGTGGAATCTTGAATAGTTGGCCTTCGATCCCGGGCAACATGATCTGAGTGAATGCTGAAAACACCGTGTTTTTTTACAGCATGGTTTGCCAAGAATATGAGCCCCCTTTTTTGACATCAAGCACACTCTTTTGGTACTAACAATATTTTTAGTATTAGCGTGGATTTTTCTCGACAGTTTCCAATTTGTCCTGTCATTAGTCTCGGACACGGGGGGGGGATTGGGCCGAAAAGCGTCTGTGACGCACACGAGACGTTCTTTCTAGCATTCGCGTGGGTGCCCAGGCGTGAATGTCCGAAAAGCACCCCCAACGGAAGCCAAAAGAGAATGCAGGCAGGCAATGTACTCCGACTGCGCAAACACCACAGTTTGAAGGGTCATGAGTCATGAGTTTGTTTGTGGGGGGGTGCATTTTGTTTTCATTCTTTTGGGGGTAGTATCCATCTCATTTGGCAGAGGGCCAACAAAAACAGGCCTCTGAGCGCCTTAACATGCGGTACTCGGCTTGAGGTGGCAAAGCTGTCAGGAGAGGCGGGGAGATATGGATGTTGGCAGAGCGTAGAGCGTTGTAGGGAATTGATTGCAGGAGGAAGCTCTAGGTGAGCAGAGCAGAGCAGTTGCACCACCATTCTAATGCTTCCCACAGCAACGAAAGCCCAGACCCGCAATGCTTGCAAGCAAGGCAGAATCGCAGTGAAGCCTATGATAAAGGGGCACCAGACGTCCGTACGTATTGGACGCTGCAGGCTGAATGCTGTCAACTTTTGCTTGCAGCAACGTGCAATGAGGCAAGAGCTCTCGAAGCTTGGCGGCAGAACAAGTTGAGGGGCGGTGTTAGGATTGGGAGGTGGCCTTCAGAAGTTGAGCATCCGCGGCGTGGCGGAGAGCTCTCGAAGCTTGGTGGAACGGGTTGCAGAGCGGTGTCAGGGCTGGGAGTGGGCTTCAAAAGCTGGGCGTCAGTGGCGGAGAGCTTTCCAAGCTTGACGGAAGAATGGGTTGAGGAGCGGCAGGGCCAGGAGTTGGGCTTCAAAACCTGGGCATCAGTGGCGGAGAGCTCTCAAAGCTTGGCGGTGGTTGAGGAGCGGTGGTGCAACACTCAGGGTATACAGGGGAAGGGGCAAGCCTTTCGTAAAAACGGTTCGTAGCCGAACACGAAGCGACTGCTAGAAGAAGGGCAAGCAGCAGTGCTCTGTGCTGGAAGTAATTAGGGCAAGGCAGTTACTTGAAGAAAGCGCAAAGTTCGAGCGCAACCAAGGACAGCAAATGCCAGGCGTGGGCTAGACGCGCTACTCGTCTGCGACAGGTACTGCAGCAGCGCATGCAGCACATCACTTTGCAGGCTGTTGCTTGATCGACTCTCTCCGGATACAAGGTGAAATATGAGAAGCGCAGCCCCTTTTTCGCCATCAAGCACGGAAACAGCTTCTGCGGCAAAATATGTTCTGAACAGCGTTGCAAATGTCGCAGAGCGAGAACGCGCATCTAAGGAGAAGCGTGGAGCGTGTGTCGCCGGACACGATTCTAACCTCCACTGCGGCATTTCTTCTTTTTTCCAGCGCCACCTCGTGGCTTTCCGCCAGTGCTCCAATGCTGCAGGTGAGATGGAAGTGAACTCTGGCAAGCAGACGCATAGCTGGGAGGCTGCGTTTGTTCAGCGAGGTGTAGCAGAGGAAGAACAGCGTTGGTGGCAGATCCGCGTAGAGGCTGTGTTCCAATTCATGCCACTCGCGCCAAACGCACTTGCTGTTGAGTCGGCGTGCAGTGACTGCGAGCGCGGCGCGCACTTTTGCTTGACCCAACCGTCGACAGGTTGGTTGGAGGCGGTTACTTGGTTTGGGGGGCCGGGGTAAGGATTGGGCGGGTGGTTGGTTGGGGGGTGTGGGGTTGCTCACCTTCTGAGTCGCTCGGTTTGCTTTTGGCCAACCCAGTCAGCGGGGAGGTGCGCGGGGCAGACTGGCCAGCAAAGGGCGGCAGGATGTGGATCTGTGCACTGGCGCCGCTTGCCCACGCTGGGAAGTGCCACGGCAACTGCCGCCGTGAGCCCTGGTCGTTACGGCTTTGGGCAAGCTGAGTCTTGGCTTGCCAGTCGACGCAGCACACAATGACGCGCAGTCGATCGAGGTTCTGAATGCGCACGTGGCTGACGCGGGCCAGGCTTTAGTGCCATGGCCAGCCACAGCCGCAGAGGGAAATGGCAAGTAGCACGCACTTGCATACAGAGTGGTTTTCAGTGCGGGTTTTCAGTGCGGGTCAAGAGTCGTCCGCTAATCAGCTGAACATCGAAGATTGCTTGGTTGCCAGCGTCGACGAGTTGCTGGAGGAGGAAAATCACTGCCGGTCAAGAAGGTTTGGTGGCACTGCTGCCGCCGTGACAAGCAAGACTGCGCCGTGGGAGTACTTGCTGCTCGGCCCAATTTGACAACTGTCTAAGTCGAACAGTTAGACCTGCGTAGTTTTTCCCTTGCTGACGCCGCAAGCTGTGCACGGTTAGGTTTATGTTCATTTGGGTGGCACTACTCAGATTTCGGCTCACTGTCAGTTTTCTTGGCCAATTCCAGGGGCATTGACTCATGCCTCGCTATACGCACCATAAAATTTGTAGTTCTCAGCTCAGTCGAGATGGCTGCGTGTATGGGCTTGGAGCATGTGGCCAGATGGTAAAAACTATGGTTTTTGATTTCAAATAAACTACACTTGTCTGTTCTTGGTTTGGTTCAAAAACATATGGAGTTAGAGAAGGACAATACCCCTTATGCATTTTCTCTTGATTCCAGTTTAATTGGCCATGACAATAGCCGTGTTCTCCAAGTGACTGTTGAAACTCGCAAGAAACTGCAACCGGTTGAAGTTGAATTTTGCTTGAACTCGAAGTTATTCTAAGTCTCATATTCTTCCTATGCTTCAATAGTTGTTCTTGACTGTGCTTGAATCGTATTAGACAAGTAACGCACAACTGAGATAGCTGCTTTGCAAGTTTGATTAAAATACACTTAGTTGAATTGTATGTGTAAAATCGAACTAACACGAAAATGCAACTGCGCAAGGACATGAAGCGCTTGTATGTTTGATTTGGCTGTCAGTTGCAAGTAGAGTTGGGTTCCTTTCCCCCAAGTGGATCAGCTGTTCCAGGCACGATGAAGCTGCCAAAGCATGCTTCGCCGTACTACTCTTGTGCTGAAAGTTGTGCCTTTTGAGCTGGGGCTGCCAAAGTGCACTTCGCAGACTGTGACTTCAAGCCAACTTCGCAGTCGAGCTGTTTAACTAACAGCTCCTTGTGAACATTGAGCTTAACTTCTGCTTGGTTTGGCTTTGCATGGAGTTGCACGTCCTGTCAGCTCAGTTCAGAGTCCGAGTTCTGGACGAAACCTGACTCGTATTTCAATTGGGGAGGTCGCATATATATATATATATGTTGGTATACACGTGTACACGTGCATTCACTATAATACACCGGCAATTCGTACAATTAAGTATGTATGCGAGTTGCGTGTGTACATATTTACATTTCGGTGTATATAGTCTGTTGTGGCCTAGTGAAGCCCGGTGTTCATACTGTCAAAGGTGCTTCGAGCAAGTAGCACCGTAGTACTATGTCCGTGTAACGAGTTACAAGCTTTTAACAAAAACGTAGAGCGACACAGAAACACACTGGGGGGAAGGACTTGCCCTGAGCAGAAACTATTGTCAAGCATTGATCTAGATGAGTTTGAGCTCCACGCTGGTGACTGAAAGCTTGCTGCCATCCAAACCCGCGCATATGAATATATATATATATATATATTTGAGTTTGGCTTTGGGAGACATCAGGCACCTGTATAGTTCTGCTGGTCCGAAGAATTTGTTTCAGTGCAAGGCTTGGCGAAACTTTGGTTGAGAAGATTTGTAGGCTGGAACTGCCAAAAGCCAACTTCAGCGACATCCCAAGCATACCTGGGGCATAGGAGGCTTTCCGATTTATTTCTGGAGCGGGGATCTGTATGTGATTGCAAAGGAAGCAAGGCACGAGCACGAGCATTTGGGAGAACTTGTTTGTTTTTCTGCAAAGCAAACCGCAGCACTGTGGAAGAAGAAACTAGCCATGGCTTTTGCAATCCTGGTGAGAAGGCGTGTGCATGTACAGGATTTACACATTTACGTTGCATGCAATGCAGCATTTTGCTGTCTTTCATCCCTGTTGCAGGCTACCCCTCCGACGACGATTGACGCACATTGTCGAACGTGAGCCGCGGCCGATCTGGGCGACTTGGTAGGGTACTCTGTCACAATCTGAACAGGATTCAATGACTAGGAAGCACCCAAAGTCGGGGCTTGCCTCTTACAAGAGGTAGTAGATGCCGGGGGCCTTGTTGGGATGTGTCCGCGATAGTATTTGTTTGTCTCCGACAAATGCCCCAAGTGCATGTGCTCTAGTCAGAGGTCTTTTGCGAGGCCTGCGAAAAGACGGCACTTCAGACACCCTTACATTGATATAGTTGCAGCTGATGGTGCCAACTGTTTCTGCAGACATGGTGCCTGATCTGATCTGGAAGGGGCCTTGTAGTGGTTTCCATGTGGGGTGGGCGGGTGCAAGACATGCCTTCAGAGCGACCGCAGCCACGTGACGGGTCCCACACTTCACCGAGCTCCCCCAAAAACACCGTCCGCGGCGGCCATGGGTTCTGGTTCCTCCACTGCCAGCAGCGAGGTTGCAGGACCAGCCCAACTCGAGGAGAGGGGTCCTTACCTCATGGACCCCAAAAAGGGGGGGGGATGGGGGCGATGGGGGGGCTATCAACGGAAGAAAAAAAAGGCGTTGTGAAGGGATTCTCCGTTGCCTATCCGAGGCGTATCCAGAAAAATTGCCTCATAGCCTCCCTGGCGTATCTTCGCACGGGTCGGGTGATTTGGGGTGCTGAGAATCTCGAGGGACTCGGATCTGGTTCCAGGACAAGTACTACCCGGCCTGGATCAAGGAGGCGGAGAACCTGAAGGCGGGGCTGTGACTCTCCCTGACTCAAAGGGTTTTGGAAGAACCCACGTGAACCACAATCAAAGCCCGGGGTAGAAGAAGGGACGACATGTCCAAGGTGGTGTTTCAAGGAAAAGAGGGGTTCCTCCGAGAAGTGAATATGTGCTCCTCTAAAATGGGAAGCCCCCGATGATCAACCAGACTGTAATAATCCTGGGTCAAAATTCAAGGGACGCCAAGAGCATAAGAGTTGATTCTCCATTCGTTTCAGGCAATTTCATAAGATAAGGGACCCTGAAAAGGACTGGGGATGAGGTGCAACGTGTTATGAGTTGGCGAACATGGTGGTCTAAGCCACATTTAAGAAACAAATCAACCAGTGCACGTCCCCTGTTTTTCTTGGGATGGTCCCATGGCACCCGGGTGCTTTTTGTTTGCCTCTTTCCGTTGGCAGGAACATGAAGGTTGTTTTTGCCTTTGCCCCCAAGAGAGTGCCTTGGATGATGTTTTGGGGCCAGCCGGCCCCTTTTTTTGCTCACAACTCAACTTATTTTGTTTCGGTGGGTGGCACAGCCCGACCTTATTTGGCCGTGGGTCAAAACCAATGGCACCATTTTGGAGTAGGTGCACCACCCATTTTAGTGGGGATCGGGATGTTCACTGGGGGTACGGGGTTTTGACCCATGGCCAGTGTTTTTGCCGGGAATCTCTTTTTGTTTAGGGTGTCTCTCTTTCTGCGCGTGGTTTCCAGTTGCACCCCGCAACTGTTTCCCGTGTCCAAACTCCCCTTACCAAAAAGGCGTCGAGTCGGCAAGCCCCTTCCCTCCCTACCTCAACCCTCAACACTCCATCGGTCGCGGACGACCATTTTTTTTTCAGGACCTCACAGGCCAAGTGGCGCTCATCACCGGGGTCTCCACCTCCTCCGGGCTCGGCTTCTTCGTGGCCAAGGCCCTCGCCTCCAAGGCAAAGCGGCTGGGGTCGGCGGGGCCGGGATGGGTGAGTTGCCATGGCCAGGGCCGGCGCGTCTTTTTTTGTTTTGTTTCTAGGTCCCCCAGCAATTGGTGCCCTTTCTCACCCCCTTTTTTGGTTGGGAGGGTTCGGGACCCTACTGAAATAGACTACAGAAAAAGTTGGTACCCTTGTTCTGACCTCTCTACTGGAGGACCTAGTTTTGGTACCCTACGAAAATGCCCGGGTTTTTTTGTTGCCCGTCTTGTTTTGTTGGACACCAAAGACAAAATTGGCGGAGATCTTCACCATTGCCCGTCTTTTTTGTTGGACGACAAAAATGGACTCTTCGGCTGTACTCTTGGCTTGTTGTGTGTTTGTTGTGATTTAATGATTTGTTTGCATGTTTTTGGGGCGAGGCAACTCTGCTGGAATTTGGACTGCTCGGGACGAGGGGCTTAAAAAGGGGTAAATGAACAAAGTGGACATGTAGTGAATCCAATCAGTGAGATCTTTTGGAAAGCGTCCTGTGCGTGGTTGAGAACACGGTGACATCTGTATATGTGACGGTTCCCAAGGTGCCTCTTTTTTGGGATCCGACCATGGCCGTTAACCACACAAGTTGGCACCACCAGGCTTGGACGTCCGTATTGGCCTCTTGGTTTCCGTGACTTTCCAAGTATTTCCTATTGTCCCTCGAGATTTTTGCGCGATCTGCGAAACATCACCCCCTATTAAAGCCTATGTGCAGTGATAATTCGAGGGGTAATTTCCCTATAGGGTGTCATCCCAGATTTTCAGCGCCAACTTTCCATACGTGACCTTGGGTCGAATAGGACCCCGGTTTGTGCAAGTCGTTCTTCAAATTGAGCATTTGCTGTTTGGCTGTTAAAGAAAGACACCCATGTGACACACGTGGCTTGCCGGTGCAGCAAAGACGAGTTCGTCTCGAAATGAACTCATTTTCTTGGGATGGTTCGAGCCAAAAGGGAGCCCAACTGTTCGGGCCAGGCCAGTTTATCTGTAGGAAAGCCCAACATCGCAACGACGTGCATTTGTCTCAATCAGGTTTTCCGATTTCTAGCAGCTTTGCAGATGGCCATACTTCCCTCAAAATCACTGAATAGCCATGCTTAACCAAGGAAGACCAGTGGAGAGTTGGCAGGCGACAGGCTTCAGAAAGTATGTTCCGGTAAACATTGCACGCCAAAACTGAGGAGGATCACTTACATTAAGCAACTCACTCCCTGCTGGACTTTATACTTTTTGGGCTTGCAGTATTTTTCAGTAGCAAACAAGCAGTTTGGGTAGTTTCCTTGGGCAATCAACTCGATCGGAAGTCAACCAACTAAAATGTCATGCTTAAGATGACGCGCAAGCCGCTGATGATTTAGGAAGCCCCCTCAGGCTGCTGACCAGACCCGGGCACCTTCACGCGGTTTTCGTAGCAAGAGATACATTGCCAAAGGTAGAGTGGACACGTGGGTGAGGTGAGGTCATTTGCGGGAAAGACACGCCAAGCTGCATCCCCAAGTTGTTTGAGCTTTCAGGTCCGGGCTCACGAGCACGGCCACCCTCCAAATTTCGTGCACGGGTCCCGGGGCGGAACTCCCCCCCTCCCACGTGGGTCGGGTCCCGGGGCGAGAAAGGGCCCTTCGGGCCCTCCAGGGCGCGCAGTGCGTGCTCACGGTGCGGAACCCCGAGAAGGGCCAAGGCGTGAAGGACGAGCTGGAGGCGCGGCCGCGTTGTTTTTTTTTTTTCCTTGAGCGTTTCAGCCGCATAGGTGCTTCCCTGTTTGGTTTGGTTTGGTTTTAAAAAACAAACACAAAGAGGAAACAACGGTGGGGCGATTCCTGGTTCACCTGGTGGTTCACTCATCTACCAGGGAAATCCAAAGCGATTTTCCAGAAAGGACACCTAGGCCCTTCCCTTGCTTGAAGGCCAAGCCTTAGCTTAAACCAGGAAGGTTCAGACCACGGTTGTTAAAGCCACATCTGTTTTTCTCCGTTTTTTCCAAGCTGGGTTCCTGGCATATGGTTGCACAAGCAACTCTTGCCCAATTGCTCTCGTGACGCGAAACGGGCCCTTCGAGGTTTTGAAGTTGATTTATTGGTACGGATCCAGGTGCTGCAGAACGAAGTGACGGGTTTCCCTATATGGCCAGACATTTTAATGACGAACCAACTCCATGGACATAAATCCGCACCGAATTGGTGTCCAATATTTCGGGTCCTTTATCACAATTCACACCCGTATGCTTCCCGTGCTGTGACTCAATTGCACGTCTCCATGTCCTCACGATGAAACAGCGCGGCTGGGGACTCCAAGGCATAGGTGCCCTTACAGCAAAAAGGGTACCCTTATTCTAACCCCTCTACTGGAGACTCTAGAGAATGGCACTGGTTTAGATCGGTTTATTCCATTTACGAGGGCCAGCTATTTTTTCCCAAAAGGCCACCTATGCTCCAAGGTAACTTCCGGGAGTCTTGTTTGGTCCGCCGTGAATTTCCCCTGAAAGGACCCCGACTCACCAACCAGCTTAGTGTGTAGCCAGACTTGGCGAAGCTTCAAGGGCCCTTAACAGCCCTTTGGGTGTCCTTCCTTTTCCCTGCCAAGCCTTCCTGCGGGGGGGGGGGTAAGTGGCAAATCATGTTAGTACATTTCTATGAGCTTCTAGGGGAAACCTCAAAATGGGGCCCGGTGGGGCACGGTATCTTTGTTCAAACCAGGCCCGAAAGAGGATGCCCACCACAAAGGCAAGCTCAGTCAAAGCCGATTGGCGCAGGCCAAGCTGAAAGAGGAGGGCATCACCGCCAAGCCGGTCGTCGTCATGAAGCTTATCCCAGCCAGGGGAGCCCAAAATTTTAAAAAACCCGAACACGGGCTCCTCTCTTTAGAATGCCGGGCACCCCGAAAGAAGGCCGGCATCTCCTTTGGTCTCTCTTGAGCACCGCCTGGGTCGAGGTGTGGGCCCTTTGAAACAGGCCGGCTGAGCGCTTCGACAGGAGGAGTTCTGAGAGAACGCCCTCCAAGTTGGGAGGCCTTTGGTTTTTGGGCTTTGTTTAAAGGGAGACCAAAAAGGAAACTCCCCTTCTAAGCATCACCCCGCCAAAAGGCAAGTCGCTATCAGTTGGCCCGATAGGTGATATTTCAATCCGCCTTTAAGCGCAATATGGGTGACTTTGCACTATGAGGAGTCACCAAAGTGGTTTGTTTCCTCTTGCCTTCCCTTTGAAAGTCTCCAAAAGGGGGCTCCAATCAGGCCCTCACATGGGTGTTTCTCAAACATAGGGGACCCCTAAAAGGGCTTGCTTCTTTTGGGCACCCCAATAAAATCCCTGCCGTTCGGGGTCCCGTCTTAGGAAGATGGACAACTGCGACTTCGCGAGCGTGCGCAGCTTCACTGACGAGTTCCAGAAGCAGTTCGATCGCCTGGACATCGTGGTGAACAATGCCGGAGTCATGGGTCTGGACGCGCAGATGACCAAGGATGCTCGGGGAACGAAGCATTACCCTCCCACCAACTACCGTGGAAGTGCCCAACCCCCCTTTCCAAGGAAAAGTAGTCTTTTGACAGGGGTCTGTGCAGCTCAATGTTAGTCGGGGGGAGGGTCAATACAAGATTCATACTAGGTTGTTGGCTCGTAAATAGAGCAAATTGCAAATGTACTGGCTTGTTCTGGTTCAACTGTAGGATTTTGGAATTTGCACTGGGACGTTTTTGGGGAGATGGTCTTGGAGATCCCGTTGAGGCAAATGGATGCTTGGATGCTCGGTGAACTCTCCAAGCTAGTCATACTGGGCTGTTGGTGCATATTCAGAAGCCGAGAAAATTCCTGATAGCCTATTGTTAGTTGATCTGAGCAAGGCGCGGATGTTCATGCCTGGTCAGGAACAGTAGGTGGTTTTTATCATGACAAAAGCTGGGGTGACAGAATTTAATTCCCCTTGTAGCCACGGTTAGAACCGACAACCTAAACTCTGGTTCCAAGTTGGTTCACGAGCGAATCCACCGATCCACTAAAACGAGCCGCTAATGCACAGGATGAAAGTTGCTTGGGGATTGCTGGTTTCCGGTTTGTGAATTCTAACGATTTTCCCTGGAAGATGCTCTGAAGTCTGCACAGTGACAAAAAATGTTCCTTTCGGTTTCCCTTTCAATCCACCCCCAAGATAAGGTTTCCCTTTCCCTAAAGAAAGGCACCCAAACATATGTTTTTGCGAGGATGGTTTCGACATCCAGATCCAGACGAATCACCTGAGCCACTTCCTGATGACAGCTCGGCTATGGCCCTTGATGACGCTTCCCTTCGCAGAATGCGGGATTGTTTGCTTTTGGGGGACCTCCCTGTGTGGTTGCTTTCAAATGGACACCAATAGTTGTTTGTATGTCCGTTTGCCTGCGTGTCTTTCTGACTGGCTGTTTGCTTTTTTGTTTATGCCCTTCTCTCTTAGTTTCTTTGTTTCTTTGTTTCTTTGCTTGTTGGTTTGCCTCTTTGTTTGTGTGGTTGTTTGTCTTGATCTCAGTTTTGATCCTGGTCGTTGTCTTTATCTGTCGCTGCATGTCTCTGTCTGTTTGTCTGCTCTGCCAGTCAGTCTGTTTGCCTGCCTGTCTGCCTTCCTGTCTGCCTTTCTGTTGCCTTTCTGTTTGCCTGTTTGTATGTCTGTTTGTCTCTGTCTGGCTGTTTGTCCGTCTGTCTATCGGTCCGTTTCTCGCAATCTGTTTATCTGGTCATTTGTTTGTCTGGAACCCTAAACCCTAAACCCTCCGTCCGTCTGTTTGTCTGTCTGCTTCTCCCACTTGATTGGTGCTTTGAATGTGGGTTGCTTCGTTGAACGAAGAGCAAGATAGTCGGGTTCATGTGTTTTTCAAGTTTTCCCACAACGTGATTTCTCCATTCGTCCGATCTTCCCCCTGGTACCCCCTGTTTGAAAGCTTTGTGGAAGCCAACCGCTTGGGGTGGACACTCCTCCCATACTGTGGATGGACAACATCCTGCACCACCCAAGAAACCATAGGAAACCTATGTTGGTTGATATTTACATGGGAATCATACCATTCCAGGGTTTCTTAGGTTGTGCAGGATTTTGTCCATCCACAGTATGTTTGAGAGAACGCGTCATGTCTTGCCTTCGAAGCATCAACAGACAAGGGTGGGAATTGTGGTTCCCAGGACCCAAACATCCATCTTGCCTGCGAAAAAGGATACGGCCCAAAAGTTGTTTGAGATCAGCCAGATGCCTACCCAGTGACAGCCAGAAAGAAATACCGTTTTAGGCTTCCCCCGTGTTTTGGGCGGCTCGGAATGCCATGATCTATGCAGGTATGACCTTTAGGCAGAGATATTGTTGGGAATGCCTGCCCAGTAATCAGAAGGAACCTGCCAGGCGCAATTATTATTGAAGCCAACTGCATGAGTTTCTACCAGCAGATCGGACAAGCACCCGCCAAAACAAAGGTTTTCTTCTAGGAGTTTAGCGGGTTTCTTGGAAATTCGTACCACAATTAGGTTTGGATTTTTTGAGGGTATCCCTTTTCGACGTCCTTTTTTTGGTGAAACCAATAGGACACCTAGTTTTGAGACACCGGTTCATTCCTGTTTCTACAGGACAGTGGTGGAAACGGCCCCCCAAACACCTCCTAGGTCGCATGTTGAGACACGCCTCCGGGGTAATCAACTACGTCTCTGCAAAAAATAGAGCCTACCTTATTCCTAGGGGATGATTCCCCATTCTTTTCAACCATCGTTCTTTCCAAAATCCGGCCGGTTTCCCTGGGTTTCCGGAGGTTTTGTAGAAAGAAGGATCTCTGGAAAGAATGGAATTGGAAGGTACCCCTAGATTATTCAGAAAACCACTCCTGAGTTGAAGACTACCTTGCAAGCAATCGAACCGACCTCGCGAACCACTCCTGGGTTTAAGTCTACGTCACTAAGTGCATTCCCCTGTAATCCTCAAGCCCATTCTTATGATGTTCCAAAAAACTGATTCCAAAAGGTAGATCTTGTTGTTGCTACAACTGTAAACTGGCTTTGCCTTTCGGCCCTCTTTTTGGGGGAACGGGAAAAAACGGACTGCTTTAAAGGGGGCTTCCCCACTAGGCAACACAAGCTCCAACTGCAACACGGCATTTCCCCTTCAATAGTTGATCAGTTTACTGCCACTTTCGGAGGTTCCGAAATGAGACGTGGCTCGGAACCCCTGACTGTTCCGCGATCCATCGAACTTCATTTGCTCAAGAATGTTGATTTTCCCGTGTTGGCTTTAAATGGAAGCCAGCACTGGAGATGTTTGTCAGTTTCTCCAGGTGGCTTAAGCAACTGATGGGTCAAAACTAAACCACCAGAACATGGACCGCAGGCTTTCGTCCACTCCAGAATGGTGGTTTTACCGATCGGGCCAGCCATTTTGGGGGTCCCCAACGATTTTCGGACCGCCGCCAACACCCAAATGGAAGCCGATCCCCCCCCTCACAAAAATATTGGTGCGGTTTTACTCCAAGGTAATCATTTCAATGGCCATGAACTTAAACAAGGAACCCCCTGGCAAGTGGTTGGTGGACATAATCCCCCCAATGATGTCCACCGGTTCGGGTCCCGAGTTTTTGACTTCATGCCCAAATGGTTTCGTTTCCGCTCGCCGACCCTCCTCATAAGGCTCCGATTTTCATCTTCTTTATGAGGTTCCCGAAAAAAGCCTCCTATTATAAGCATCCTTTTCCGTATAAGGCTTTCCTTTTTTTTAGCTTCTTCTATGCCTCCTGCGGCTTCCGTCTCAGGAAGGCCACGGCGGAGAAGTACGGCTCCGCGGCCATCTCGCAGGTCTCCTCCGGCGCGGGGGAGAAGGGCGGCCCCACGCGCCTCGGATCGGAGGGTTTGGGAGGGGGGTGGGGGTTGGGTTTTTTTTTGGGGGGGTGTTGGGTTGGGGGTTGGGCTTGGGGGGCGGTGTGTTTTTGGTTTTGTTTTTGGGATCCTTCTCTTGTTTTTTTGCTTAGGGGATGGGTTTGTAGGGGTCGAAATGTCGATTTTGACGTATCATTGTTTGATTGGCGGGGGTTCTGATTGGTGGGCTTGTCTTGTTACTAATCTCTTCCCCCTATTAATAAATACGGCCCCCCCTATTATAAATAAATCCACCCAAATATATATATATATATATATATATATATATTTTTAATTGGGGTTTTTGGGGTTTGGTTTGTTTTTTGCTTTTCCAACAATGTGAGGGTTCGCATAGGATTTGGAGGAAATGGATTGAATTGTAAGGTCCGCGAGTAAGCGGTTTAATAAGGAAATTTGATGTATCAGTCTATTTGTTTACCAGTTTACTGGTTGTTTGTTTGCAGCCAGGCAGGTTAATTAGCCAGCATGTACGGGAGAGAGACAGTCGCAGCTAGACAGCTTTTGGGGACATGTTTTCTTTTAATTAGCCAGCTAGCACGCGAAACAAAAAGAGGTGAGAGAGTCAGGGAGTCAGGGACAACCAGGGACAACCTTTTGGGGAGAGAGTCAGGGACAACCTTTTGGGGAACCCACCAAAAGGACCCAACCTTTGGGGGAAGCCAGCTTTTGGGGAAGCAACCTTCTAAGGAATTCATCTTTTGAGGAACCCACCTTTTTAAAAGTGGGGCTGGAAGCTTGCTAAAAGTGCCCCCTGATAAGGATTCCAAGACTTTAGTATTGGTTTAGTATTGGCGCAATGGAAAATGAATTGTGCGGAGTGGAAGTCTGGTCTCGGGCCCCGGATTTGCATTTATTATTAATGGGGGTCATTCATTAATTGGGGGAGGAGATTACCAACGCACAAAAAGACGTTTTTTTCGTTTTATTGGGTTCCCCGGACTTTCCTGGGTTTGTCTTGTGAGCCAAAGGAACATCGTTTTTTTTGGGGGGGTCCAAGTCCCTGCACGTGCCCGTAACCCAAGCGAACAGGACCACATGTTTTTTTCTTCGGGGCTCTTGAAAACTCGCCCTTGGCAACCAGCGAGCCAGCGTCCAGTGCCTTAGAGAAAACTATCGCCAAACCCTTGTACCTGGAAAAAGCTGCCAAGGGCCCTTGAGTAAGTTGGGTCCCCCAAAGGAGATTGCTCTAAGAAAGAGCCGGTCTGCTTTTGCCCGCGTGAAACTCTCGAGAGAAAAACGCCCGTGCAAGACCAAGCACTTCCAATCAAACCCCAGGTGAAGCTGGGCGCACACCATGACGCTGACCAAAGCTTTCTTCAGCACATGGATGTGTCTCAAGATCCGGGGCTCAATTCCTTTGGGCGTCCCTTTGAAACCAGCGGGTCCCGCAAAAGGGCCGGGGGACGTTCCGTTCCACGATCTGGCAGCCCAGTCAGCCAAGTTCCACGATCCAGGCATCGGAAGCCAGCGTGCGCACTCCTGGCTTGATGGGGATATACTCGCAACAAGCGAAGGCCATGGCCATATCAAGGGATCAGGACACAGACATGTACCATGGCCAGATCGTATTTATCATATATTTGTCAGGAAACCCGAAAAAACATATTATGATACTGTGGATGGACGAAATCCTACACCACTTTGCAACCATGGTTGAAACCATTGTGGGGAATCGTATCATTCCGAATGGGTTTCTTAGATGCTGCGAGAAACGGATTTCGTCCATCCACAGCAGTTTGTACGCAGGTGATAGTCTTTGGTTCCATTTACCGAGGTGCCATTTTGGGTACCTATTTTTGAGTTATAGTTATATTATGATGGCTTGTAACGTTTGTCGGAGAGCTGGGGCTGAGGATTGACACCGCGAACTTGAACAACCCGCATCCATCCCATGGACTGCTGCTATACGCGGCCCCCTATGTCCTGGGAGGCGCTTGTGCTTGCCGCATCATACTCTTCGAGAAATTCCCGCCAGGAAATTACCTGGAGTCTCCATGACCCTTAAACAATGGGTCCATGACCCCTTTGTTTTGGGTAGGGGCCCCATTTGTAAAGGGTCATGGAGACTCCAGGTACTCAGTTTGTTTGATCGGTTCCAGATCAAGCCTCATTATCGTGGGACCATGTTGCCGTCATTTTCACAGGGTGTAACTCTACATGGAACCCGAAAAGGTTATCTCTTCGCATCCCTTCCCCAAGAAGTTCCGAAACATGGGTGTGTCTTTTTTAGTAGTTCCCCCAAAATGGTGGTGTTCCTTTTGGCTCCCTGGAAAACTACAAAACGACACACCCAAATGGACGGATGCCCTACAAAGTCCCAGCCCGTCCCCTTGTGGGAGACGACCATGGTGACAGGTGTCACCTGGGTAGTTCCTTGCGGGTTCAAGGGACGAGCAACCGAGCAGGGGATGGCCATTTACCCACGAGCAAACAAGCAAGCCGGAGGTGTCCAAAGCCGTACAAGTACCTGGCAGGAGTCTCCATGACCCGAAATAAAAATGGGTCCATGACCCCCCCTTCATTTTGGCTCATGACCCCATTTTTTCAGGGTCAGAAGGAGACTCCAGGTAGATGAGAGATACCTATGTTTGGTTCCCTGCCTGACTTAAGGCTTGAACCTCTGCTTTAAGGTGATCTCGGGTGATGGCAGGCACCACGGCGCACTGGGCCCGCTACGGTCAGAGCAAGCTGGCGAACGTGGTCTTCGCGCAGGAGCTGCAGCGCCGCATCGCAGCCAAGGACCTCAAGGCAGGGCCACGTTTCTTTTTTCAGCGACTTCCCCAAGCAGAGCTCCAGTGGGTTGGCATTCCTTGTGTTTCCTATGTGGGAGTGGGGAGAAAAAACAGGGACCCATACCCATTTGCTTGCAGTTGAGCTCCGTTTATGATCAATGAACAGAAGGTTGCCATTGCTGTGGGCCCTCGTTCCTTTCGTTTTGGAGGAACGGAGGGGATTGATTCCTTTACAGTCACAAAGGGTGGACAGTCACCAAGCTTACAGCCCACCGCCAATTGAGTCACAATCAAAACCCCGGTAAGTGAAAGCTAGTAAGGGACAATCCCAACCTTTCGTAGCTGCGGCCGCCTGCCTTAATCCTTTGCATGGCTCTGGGTCAACCATTTTCCTGCCGGTTTTTAATTTTGACTGAATTGCAGTTTCAGTTGCAGAAGAAGACCCAGTTTCAACCCGTATGGAGTCCACCTCCAACCATGTTTCGTCAGCCCCGCGAGCCGGCCTGGGTAGTGAAGAGTTATGTTGTGACTTCCTGGTCTGGGGGCCATGTCAAAGGGTTTACAGGAACATCCAGAGGACATGGCCCCAAAACACCCTAAAGAACCTGATTTGCTGTAGATGTTCCTGTACCCCAAGCCTTTGACCATGGTAAGGTTGCAAGGGTTGACTCCGCTCTTGCTAGAAGCATGCGTCAAGGAGTTTCGGACCAATCTCTCAGTTGACGGTGTCCATATAGGGGTTCTGCGTGCACCCATGACCCTTAAAAAATGGGGTCATTGCCCAGAATAAAGGGGTCATGGACCCATTTCTATTTCGGGTCATGGAGACTCCAGGTGTGAGTGACTCTGAGAGTGTTTGGTTTTGCGACGAGCAAATGACCCCACTGGCCGGGAGGTGGGAAGATGGCAGAGGGGTTGGAAGGTAAGGTGGTCGGAGGTTCGTGAGGGGAGTGGAGATTGTGGGGGGAGAAGGTCCTACCTTTACCCTGCAAAGCGCAACCAAAGTGCTCTTCAACCACAACCTCCCCCGGCCCCCTGCCCTCCCCTCTCAACCGCCTGCCTTGAACTCAGTGTTCTTTCCAGCTTGCATGTCAAGGTAGGATGTTTCACCGGATGCGAACGGGCTGATTCCCCATTTATGCTCAGCCATCGTTGTGTTCAAACGCCGGCCTTTCACTCAGGACAGGTGTTTGAGGAGTTGTACCTCATGTTCCGGATCCTCTCTCAAGATAGGTCGCTGTTTGCTTCTCATGTAGAATTCGGCTACATTCTTCCAAAAGCGCGGAACTGCCATGATTGGACAGGCGGTAGTTTTCCTTTTTGGACACCGAAAGGGTTGCGCCCTTCTTCCTTTGCTTTGCACATCCGATGTTTGAATTCCCCTAAGGGAAATGCATGTCGGCATTTGGGTCATGTGTCAAGGGGAGACCCCAAAAGTGCCGGTGGTCCTGTTGGTTTCTCTTCAAACCAACCTGAAAAGGTACCTTCAAGAAACCCACACCTCATTTGTTTTGGCTTGCCATTTTACGGTGGGATCATGTGGGAGCCCCTTTTGGGGGCTGAGGATTTTTGCCCAATGGACGATCCCGGAATTTCGCCCCATGGACGGACAACCCCCCCCCCCCACTTCCCCCCCTCCACTCCCCTCCCCCCCCCCACTCCCCTCCCCCCCCCCACTCCCCCCCCGCCCACTCCCCTCCCCTTCCCCCCCCCCCCGGGCTCGCGATCCGCAAACCGTGCAGATCAAGTCCACGTCCGCCCACCCGGGCCTGGCGGCCACGAATCTGCAGATCACCACCCAGAAGGGCGGCGGCATGAAGGCCGAATTTCGCTCGTTCGCGCTCGCGAAGATGGGTATGGGTATGGATGGGTATGGCTATGGGGACAGCTGGTTACAGGTCCCCTGGTTTCCTTCTAACCGATGGGGCAACCCATTTTGGGGTACCCTGATCGTTTTTTTTTTGGTTTGTTCTTTCTTTCTTGTTTCGGTTCGGCGGTGGCATCGGAACGAGCAACGGGGGCCCAAGACGCCATGGGAGAACACCTTGGCCGAAGAAACGAGAAATGCAACAAGACCTTTTTCGTGGGCTTGGCGTTCTTGTTTGACATGGGGTAAGGGCTCACTTCCCAAGTTGCACCTTCGTGCTTCCTTGGCTTGGAACATTTCAGGCGCAAAAACCCAACAGTTTGGGTCACGTTTGGAGTCACTCCCCACTCAGAAAGTGAGGGGCAAACTGACTGGGGCTTCCAGAAGATGTTAAGCTCTAAGCCTCTAAGATGAGATCCAACTTAAAAGCGGCGAGGGATCCCTATTGATTTTTGTCCTCCAAGGACCAACACAAGTTGCCCGACAAAGGCCCTAAGCCTCACATCATGAAACTTAGTCCTTTTCTCTTTGGGACTTATTGTGTCAGGGCAGTAGATTCAATTCTTCCAACCTCTCTGTTTTGACAGATCTTGGTTGTCCCCTTTTTGGACAAACACTTCAATTTGAACCCATTCACCATTGTTGGCAAGTGGTTTGGTGTGTTTAATTTGTTTGGTTCTGTTCATTTTCAGTAGGTAACTCTAAAAAAGTACCGTACCAAGCACGTGTTTTGTGCCAGCCCATACCCGAGTTTTCGTTTCCGCCCCCGCCCCGGCAACGAGAGCGCTCCTTGAAGGACCCGGTTCCCGGTTCCCGCCCAGTCCCGTGCTGGTTTCAGGATGGCGCGGGGTTCCAGAAGGGGGGCCAGAGCTGCGCCGACGGGTCGTTGCCCTTGATCATGTCCGTGGCCCACCCCGCGGCCGTTGGTGGGGGCTACTACGGCCCGGCAGCGGGCCGCACCGGGCCTCCCAAGGAGGCGCCTATTTGGGGGGATTTGGGGGGATTTGGGGGGGAGTGGAGGTGGAAAGACGGCGGCAAACGCCGGCCGGCTTGTTTGGGAAGACGTCGTCAATGGTTTCCGCTGGGAATGCTGGTTTTTTGTGGCAAGACACCCAGGTTGGTGAATGGTTTGTATTTTTTTGGTAGTTGGCACAATGATTTCCACTGGTGGGAACCGCGGATGAAGCTGAACTTATGGTGGATTCAGCAGGGATTGTTTTGGAGAGAACACCCCCTACTATTGATAGAACGGGTTTCTGGGGTCGACTTGACCCCCAAGCCCACCGGCACCCAAGGCAAGGGGAGGTAGCAGCTATATGGTGGTTGGAACCCTGGCTCGTCACGGTTGCCCTTTTTTGAGCTGGCTTTTGTTTGCAGTTGGCACACCTTGGAGGTTGGTTAAGTGGGCAACTAAAGGCAGGTTGCAGTGTGTATTCCTTTGCTTTCCTATCTGGAAAACACACACACACACATCAAGGCTCAAGCTTGTCAAGGCGTCCAAATATGCTGAAATTGTTCACGCGTTCATGCCTTCGTGTTCTTGATGTTTTGTTCTTGACTCATCAGTTGGCGCTCGAATTCTCTAGGTTGCCATCATTGGAATCAAAAGCAAGGTGTGGCCGGCCATGACGGGAAGCCAGGGCAAGTGTTGCCTTTAAAGTCGATTCTTTCTTCCAGCAACCAAGGTGATGTCGCAACTCCAGTTGGGAAGGCACAAACGGCTGCAAAGTCTGGGGAATCGCAGATTTGTTTGCCCCCTTTGCCTTGCCAAGGCAGGGCACGGGAGCAACAAAGTGGGGTGAGACGTAACCGAGGTCGCCCCGCTGGAATAGTAGGTTCCCTATTTTGAGCCAAAGCCCTGTTGGGGATGCCACCTTGGAAGCACAAGATAAAGTGAGAGAGGATTAAGGTTTTTTGTTGGCGCAGTTCCAATGGGGAAGGAATGGTCGTTAAGCCTTTGGTACATATGCCACATATATATACATGAGGAGTTGACAAAAGTGAGTGCACAGGACTTTGGCCTTCCTCGTTGCCAACTCAGATTCAGATGTGCGTGTTTGTTTTTTTGTTTCAATGTGATGCGCAACAGATTTGGGCACAACACTTTCGGGCAACAGAAACTAGAAACTCGCTCTGAGTGAATATATGGGTGTGTTTGTTTGTTTGTGTGCGTGTGTTTCTTTGAGGGTACCCCGCTTTTTGGCGGTTTTACAGGGAAACCCAAAGGAACACCACCACCTTTCTTTTCTTTCTTTAATTCTTTTTTTTGGGGGGGGTGCTGTGTCTAGCTTTACCCTCAACATCTGGTTTCGACACAAGGCAAGAAACGCGTGGCCTTAGCTTTTTAGTAGAGTCGAACTCGGAAACGCGTTTCCAAGACTCATCAGGCAGGTTGCCATGTTGATCTGTCGAGCTTTCTATTCGGAATGGCACATATGAAGTTGTCCAGAAGTGGTGAACCTATGGGTGTGTCTTTTTGAAGGGGAAATCAAGAGGAAAGCCACTTACCGTCCCCTAAAATTGGACGCAAGTAAGCCAGGTGAAGAATGCGAACAGCCTGGCCTACGACGAGAAGCTGGGAAAAGACTTGTGGGAGGCGTCCGAGAAGGCGGTGGGCGAGAAGTTTGAGGTGTAAGCTGCGGCCCAAAGGGAGCACGGCGGTGCGATTTGTTTTATGTAAGCTAGGTCCCCCAGATAGGTGCCCTTTCTTTTACCTTTCTTTTTTGGTGGGGAGGTCTTTTTTGCTACTAAATAGACTACAGAAACAAAGGTTGGTAGCAACTTATTCCAACCTCTCTACTGGAGGACCTAGTGTGAGACCGGCAGGACTCGGAAGTCAATTGGACTTCTCCACTTGCCCTTTTGCATCGTTTCAGGCGCGCTTGCCCTCAGTTCGGACTGGGGGGCACAGAATCCAGGCGACGCCCTCGCAGGTTGGTGCCTAAAGCATCGGCCTGGCGGAAAAAGAAAAGTGGGGGTGCTGAGTTGCCTTCCGGTTCCTTCCCTCGAGCCCCTTTCAGAGAGAAAAAATGATGGCTTCCTTCCAAGGAAGTTCTGTCCGCCTTTCGAGTGTTTGCCTTCCTGACACCTGAGCGTGTTTGGGTCTGTGAAAGCGCCCTTGCGGTTGTGTTCAACGGAAAATGCTGAACGCGCCTTGCCAAAGCCCGTCTGCCTCCCCCCACATGTGGAGGCAACCCCATTGGCTGTGCAACCCCCGCTCGGAGCCTTGAGGGCTTCCTTTCTTCCATCAAGCGCTCTCACCGTCTCAACGCTTGGCGCAAGTTTCGTCATGCCCCGGCTAGCATGTGCGGTTTGTCCTTGTTTAAATGGGGAACTCGATTGAGTTGCGTAGCTCTCCGATTTGTTTGTGCAGAGTGCAAATGGTGAACTCAGAACGGATCAGCCAGGGCCGTACGTGCAGCAGGATGCTTGAAAGCTCAAAAAAGGCATCTGGCATTTCATGAATCTCATCATTGGATTGATCCGTCGCTTGAATCCCAATCCAGCATGGAACATGTTGTATTACGATACAATACTGTGACTAAGCAAATCCTGCGCAGATTAGGTTGTTTACCCCCGACCTCCATCTCAGCTGATGCAGCGATCGGCGTGGATTCTGTCCATCAGATAGGAATTGGTCCTATTTATTTTGAAGTGGTGTTTTGGGAGGAACTTCAAGAGGAAACCACCCACCTGAAGGGGTTCAACTTTTGCGAGACCACCGCAGCTCAACCCACACGTCCGAAGGGCTTGACCATATGCGTCATTGTTAAGCCAGTTTGGATGGGTTTCAGTCGTTTGGATGGGTTTGAGGCCATCCATTTACCAGGGACCCCCCCGGGTTTGGTTGAGGCTATCCATAAATATATATATATATATAGTATACCAGGGAAACCGGGAAACCCATCTATTTTACCAGAAGCACACCTGGTGACAGGACGGCGATCCATTGCCTGTTTTGGGCTCAAGGCTCCGGCGACGCGCAGAGGCATCCGCTGTCAGAGGCATCCGGGGCGAGTGGCTTGGGTGTGCTATGGACCGGGGAGGGGGCTATGGGGAGTGGGGCCTATCCCTCATCAACCCCTTAGCAAGGCCTTATTACGGCGTATCCTTGGCTTATCCTGGGCTTTTCCAGGATAGCCCCCCCCCAGCCTCCACTGGAGGTTTATGAGGTTTAGGGACCTGGGTGGTTTCCCATTCACAAGAACCAGGGGTTTATAACAATTGTCATATACGGGCCGTAATCAGGGTCAACCCCTTGACAACATGTTGCAACCTGTATACGTACATTCTATACATTATATATATATACATATTGAGAGAGGGGCTTCAACATGTACTGGTTCTTTCGGGCAACTTGAACTTCGCTTGAAAGGCGGGAGAGTATCCAAGTAGCATCAACCGCTCACATCCACCCTACCCTTTAGGCGGTACTTCTCCCAATTTGTTGATATGGGGTGAGTGGGGGGTCATCACTTTTGGAGTGGAACACCCCTATAATGATAGGCAGAGGTTTATTAATCCGGGCTCAACATTCCGAAGTTGTGATATGAATTGATTGACATGCACGCATTGCGAGACAAACGATGAAAGGTGAACCGGACAAAAGCAGGTATTCAAGGCAAAGCACAGCTCCTTCGAGTCGTTAAAATACCTGTATCATGTATGGAGTGCTTGAGGTTGCACAAAGTCTCAGCAGGACGCACTTCACAGACCAAAGCCCAAAAAAAATCGGGTTGGGCGAGAACGGGACCGCTTTGCCATTGACTGGGGCGGGGTCGTGGTTTTCTTATTTCCCTCAACGTCCGAAGATCAAGCCATGTGCTCTTCAAGGCCAGGCCCAAGCATGAGGTGCCTTTTATGAGGGCCAACAGGGCTACAGGCCCAAAACCGTGTGGAGTGAATGATGCTCGATGCTTCTACTTGAGCACCAATCAACACCCGGGTGGATGAAGGTTAGTAAGGGACAATCCACACCATTGCTGCGGATATCCGCCTTCTTACCTCTTTACATGGTTCTGGGTAGACCATTTTAATACCGGGTTTGGATTATGAGTCACTTGATGCTGTCGTGATTTTGCGAATATGAAGCATGCCGCTGCCAGGCTGCTACCATGGGAGGAGAAGGTGGGTTCAAGGGCGGCTTCGGCGACAAGGGCAAAGGAAAAGGCAAGGGAAAGAAGGGAAAGGGCAAGGGAAAGGGCAAGGGCAAGCAGGAGGAGAAGCAATGGGTGCCCATGACCAAGCTGGGACGCTTGGTGAACGATGGCAAGATCACGAGCTTGGAGGACATCTACCTGCACTCCCTGCCCATTAAGGAACCTGAGATCATCGACCACTTCTACCCTCCTGGCTCCTTGAAGGATGAGGTGCTTAAGATCCACCCGGTGCAGAAGATGACTTCTGCTGGTCAGACCAATCGCTTTGTGTGCTACGTCCTGGTTGGTGACACGAACGGTCACATCGGCCTGGGCTCCAAGTGCGCCAAGGAGGTTGCGACAGCCATTCGGGGTGGCATTATTGCCGCAAAGCTCAATCTGATTCCGGTGCGTCGTGGTTTCTGGGGCAACAGGATCGGCCTGCCTCACACCGTGCCGATGAAGGTGCATGGCAAGTGCGGCTCTGTGAGAGCGCGCCTCATCCCAGCTCCTCGTGGTTCCGGCATTGTCGGCTCTCCTGTCATGAAGAAGATGATGGCCTTCGCCGGCATTGCGGATTGCTTCACCTGCTCCTGTGGCCACACCCGCACCACCGCCAACTTTGCCAAGGCCACGTTCGAGGCGCTGAAGGCCACGTATGGATACCTCACCCCAGACCTGTGGCGACCCACGCAGCATGTGAAGCCACCTTTCCAGGAGTGGTCGGACCACCTGGCGCAGACCAAGCAGGTCGCCGCCTACTGATGCGCCGAAGTATCCAGTAGCTTGCGTGAGATAGGGAAGCGGCCCAACTGCGTTGCAAAAAACGGGGCAGCGCTTGTTTAGAGCTTGTGTACACACTTGAAGACGCAAGCAAGGTATGGGGAATGTGCAATGACATGAGTTGTTCATCGCAGGAGAAGGTAGGCAGGCTTCATGCATGCGTGTTTTTGGTAGAGGTCCGTCCGCTTCTTTTCTTTTGAACTCAAGACGGTCCATTAGCAATTCCCGGTGCGGATCGTGTCGACAAGTGCATGCCTCAGTAGTGTGGAGACTTGTTTGGCAGACCTGTTGCTTTTGTTTGTAAACACGGGCCTCGTGCTGTTGCCAAGGTGTCAGCTATGGGAGGAGAAGGTGGGTTCAAGGGCGGCTTCGGCGACAAGGGCAAAGGAAAAGGCAAGGGAAAGAAGGGAAAGGGCAAGGGAAAGGGCAAGGGCAAGCAGGAGGAGAAGCAATGGGTGCCCATGACCAAGCTGGGACGCTTGGTGAACGATGGCAAGATCACGAGCTTGGAGGACATCTACCTGCACTCCCTGCCCATTAAGGAACCTGAGATCATCGACCACTTCTACCCTCCTGGCTCCTTGAAGGATGAGGTGCTTAAGATCCACCCGGTGCAGAAGATGACTTCTGCTGGTCAGACCAATCGCTTTGTGTGCTACGTCCTGGTTGGTGACACGAACGGTCACATCGGCCTGGGCTCCAAGTGCGCCAAGGAGGTTGCGACAGCCATTCGGGGTGGCATCATTGCCGCAAAGCTCAATCTGATTCCGGTGCGTCGTGGTTTCTGGGGCAACAGGATCGGCCTGCCTCACACCGTGCCGATGAAGGTGCATGGCAAGTGCGGCTCTGTGAGAGCGCGCCTCATCCCAGCTCCTCGTGGTTCCGGCATTGTCGGCTCTCCTGTCATGAAGAAGATGATGGCCTTCGCCGGCATTGCGGATTGCTTCACCTGCTCCTGTGGCCACACCCGCACCACCGCCAACTTTGCCAAGGCCACGTTCGAGGCGCTGAAGGCCACCTATGGATACCTCACCCCAGACCTGTGGCGACCCACGCAGCATGTGAAGCCACCTTTCCAGGAGTGGTCGGACCACCTGGCACAGACCAAGCAGGTCGCCGCCTACTGATCGGCCGGATTTGAAGATTGCGCGCGACGAAGCCAGTGCTGGGATTTTGCTGAAAGATGCATGCTGCTCATAGACACGTGTTTCTTTTCTCAGCATCGCTTTTGACTTCCAGCGACCTTCTCCCATATCCATTGATGAGACCTGCTGTTCCACCGAATATGACATCCAGGATTCTGATGCCATTCTTTCTTTTGACAACATCCCCAGCTTCAGGTCAAGATTGAGCCCAAACAATTCTCCATGTTTGGAGGCATCTCCTTTTGGCGAACCCTTCCATGTCAATCTGCAGAGTGAGTATCACTTTCTGTTGTCCATTGATGTCTCACGTGGTTGGGCCAGATTGTTTGACACACGTCAAACATCTCCTTTGAACGGGTGTTCCGAACATTTCGAGGTATATGAGTTTCAAGATGTTCTCCAAAACCTGGTTTAGTCTGTCCTGAGGGTTCCATTTGGAGGAGATTGGCTTGAACGGTGCCCAAGCGCGACAAACCCATTCTGTGGCTTCTCTTGCTTGGAGCCGACCAATTGCTAGGGATGGTCACGAAGCCATCCATTTGCGTGGCTTTGCTTTGGATTTCACGCGTGTGCGAGCGTGCGCACGTTGTGCAATGTATGAATACAGTAACGTATGGCATTATATATATATATATATTATATATCCCTTTTTGGTGGATGGATTCCGGATGTGTTAGGCATCATTACGGTCCCATTTGAAGTGATCTCTTTGTAACTTGGTGGTTCCCAGCGATCCGGTTCCTGCGCCTTGTGGCTTCTTTCGTGGTTGGATTTCCATTTCTCATCCACTAAAGGTTCGTCACTAGTCGCGGATCAGATTCCCTTAACTCCCACTAAGAGTTAGTCACTTGTCGGGAGGGATCCGAAAACGGCCAGCCCAGGTAGGTGGACAATTCCCCCGCTCACCCCCCCAAGCCCCAAACCGGGCTCTCCGGCCGGGTGCTCGGTTCCGCCGCCGCTTTCGCGCATTTTCGGCGCTGAACTCAGCCGTGGGCTCCGAAGCGCGCGCGGCGAGTGCGGGCCTTCGGCGCCACGGAAGGCGAGTATCCCTCGGGTTGGCCGGTGACCAGAGGTTTCTGGGTCCAGCAGTGCCCTTACCCTTTTCTTGGTTGTTGTTGGGAAACAAGAGGTGACCAAGGTCCAGGGCCCTTGTACCCTTTTGTTGGTTGTTGGGGGGAAACATTTTACACTTTTGCTTGTGGTTTAGTGGGAAATCCAACCACTTGGCTGCTAAAATCTAAATGTTTGGCTCCCCTTTCAACGTCAACCAAGTTTTGTGGGTTGGGAGGGTTCCCCTACTAAGCAGGCTACAGAAAAAAGGGTACCCTTATTCTAACCTCTCTACTGGAGGACCTAGGGTTTAGTGCTCGCAAGAAGCGAAATGAGATCCCATGGTTGAAAGCATACCGTTTGTTGTCTTTTACAGGGGAATCATATCAGGAAATGAAGCCGTTGAAGCCATAAGGGTTGTTGGTATTTGTGGAGGAACCGAAGATCGTTTCGAATGGGTTTCTGATTTCGGCGGTGCGATTTCGATTTCTGGATTTCGATTTCAACCATCCACGGGTGTCCCGGAGTGGGTTGTTTTGGGTAAGATGGCGATGGGCTAACCTGGTCGTTTCACAATCCAGGGCCATGGGCCTTCGATGTTCTACTCGAAAGCACACGTATGTTGGTGATTTCAGGAGAGGGCCCTGGCGTTGACCCTGAAAATGTGGTTGTGAACTTGTTTACGGCGGCTTTTGCAGGAACGGGCGATGGTGCTTGCGTTCGGGTCGTTGCTTTTCCACTTGGGGCATTGGCTGTTCAGAATGGGTAGATATATGCTGAGACCACCCCACCTGGATCCACTCGGCATAAGTGGTGTCCGACTTGAGCAAAATCAATGCTTAATCTTTATGCCAGATGGTGTCTTTTCTTACTGTGGTGTTCCACTACATGTCATGGATTAGGATTAGGGAGCCCCCCCCCTCCCTAAATTTGAACCCCCGCCAGTTTCGGTGGGGTTGAGTTAGGTTGGGTTGGGTTGGTTGGTTAGTTGGTTGCTTGGTTGGTTGCGTTGGATGGCAGGTAGGTGGGTAGGTCGGTTTCTTGCTTGCTTTGCTTTGCTGGCTGGCTGGCTGGCTGGCTGGCTGGCTGGCTGGCTGCTTGGGAGGCGAGTAGGTAGGTTGATTAGTTGGGTGGTTAGTTGCTTGCTTGCTTGCTTGCTTGCTT